AAAAAAAACATCAAGGTGTAAGATTTTATGGAGTATTTATTGCAACTGTATGAAGCATCAATCTTGTATATGATTATACAATTTCATACAATACCTGACTTCAATCAAACAAGGCCCGAGACACAGGTGGATCGAGCGAGACAAAGCAAGTAATAATGTCTTCTTCGGTTCGATCTTACTACTATGAAATTCTTCCAAATCTTCAGGTCTTAAAACAAAAGAGACCAAGAAAAGTCATAAAACATCCAAACCCAAAGGCGAAAGGCAACATAATGGTTTATACCATGCAGCAGAAGAAGTCCGAAAACCAAACCAAAGCAAACCAGTCCTGGTTTCGGGTTCACATACAACCAACGGATTTGATCGCCATGGTTATACTGCCTCTTCTTGCCTCAGTAAAGTACTCTCTGTGTGTTGCCTTCATCTCTGGAACGGGACTTGTGGCTGCCAAAGCTGAATGATTTGCCTCCTCTAAACACCTAAACAATGGCAAAACCAATCATTGAAATTTGGTCTATGAGTAATGCAGCTTTGGTTTTAATGGCTAGGTGCCAAGAGAGAGTTATTTCTCACCGGTTCAGTTAATGAATGCCTTAGCCAGGTGGAGAATTTGCACGAGGTACAAGTTACTGACAGTAGATTGCCTTATCGATAAGTGAAGGAATTGGCTTGATTTCTGTTCCAAGTTCTTGCTCGGTCTGATACCTGTTGGAAACCAAATAAATGCGTAAGAAAGCTATAGCATTTGAAAGTAGAGAGATCACACCGTTTGAGAAACAAAGGCAGAAGAATAAACACTAACATTTTGAAGCGGTCCTCGTAAGTTACCAAATTCACAGCCAACCCAAGGTGTCCATATCTTCCTGATCTGCCTACCTGGTGATATAACGAAGCAAAAAGCCACGTTAAAAAGGGAATGTGATTAATTTAAAACTAGAAAAACAAAAAAAATTGCCTCTTTTAACATACCCTGTGTAGATACGACTCAGACGTCCTGGGGAAATCAAAATTAATGACAACATTCACAGCTTGAATGTCAATCCCACGTGTAAACAAATCTGCAACAGATCTTCCCTCATTTAGTCATATCATCATCTCTAAGCATCAATATTATACACACTGACGTTGTTCAGGCACATGAGTAACACTAAACGTACCAGTGCAAACAAGATTTCTGCATGCACCATTGCGGAAATCATGGAAAACCCTGTTCCTATGGTCTTGAACCATCTTTGCATGGATATAGAAGCATGAGTAACCAAGTTCTGTGATTTTCTTGGCCAACAGCTCCACACGATTGACAGAGTTGCAAAAGATAATGGATTGGTTTATTTGCAACTGCAATTAATAAACAAAACGTCCTTTAATACATCCACTACAATGAGTAGCCAGAAAAAAAAATGTGGGGTTTTATGGCTGTCTAGAAATCTGACCTTAGAGAAAAGCGTGTTAAGGCAGTGCACCTTCTGTCTCTCTTCAACAAAGGCATAATATTGGGTAACACCCATAAGTGTGAGCTGATCCATGAGATTGATAATGTAAGGCTTCCTGAGATATCGATCTTTAAAAGACTTCACGGTGACAGGAAATGTAGCTGAGAACATCAAAATCTGACGGTTTTGCGGCAAGAACTGTATCAACTCCTCTATAGAAGGTTGAAATTCTGCAGACAAAAGCTTGTCGGCCTGTGAAAAGATATTAATGATTGTGAGTCAGAACAATCAGTTCATGAGAAAAGAAAATTGAAATTTTTGTTCAGGGAAAAAACTAGAAAAGTCGCTTCTCAGAAACCCCAAAATGTTTGTCTTTAAATGCACCATAAGGAGAAACACAACTCAAGGGGCTACAGCAGAGAAAGGCCAATAAAAATATCAGGAACTCACCTCATCCATTACAAGCATTGCACAATCTTTCAAAACACACACACCCTTTTTGGTAAGATCTAATATTCTTCCAGGAGTTCCAACCAGCAAGTGAACAGGTTGATATAATCGCATTATATCATCTCTCAGACTGGTACCGCCAGTGGTGACCATGACCTCAATTTTCAAATATTTGGAAAGCTCCTTGCAAACCTGTGATGTCTGAAGGGCCAGCTCTCGAGTCGGGACTAGAATTACGGCTGCATAAGAAAATATAGATCAACAAAGTATACACCAAGAATTTATAAACTGGAAAGGAGCAGTCATCGGTTTCACTGTTGAATGAGTACTAGAAGTTCCACTGATCAACTCACTAAGGGTAAAAAGAGGAAAGAGTTTTAAAACAGAGAAGATATCTGAAAGGTAAGCAACAAACCTTGAATAACATTTTTCTCTGGATCAATTTTCTCGAGGGTTGGAATGCAGAAGGCACCGGTCTTCCCTGTACCATTTTTAGCTCTAGCAAGAATATCACTACCAGTCAAAGCAATAGGAATGCTTTCTTCCTGAATAGGAGATGGCTTCTCAAAACCTTTCTCATATATTCCCCTTAACAAATCTCTCTTCAAAAAGTAATCTTCAAATTCATTTCCTTTCGTCGCAGTCACATCCTACAGAACAACATGAAACACTTAAAAGTCTAAAGAAAACTGCTAATCTTCTCAAAACAAAGATTCATACTTCAGAAAACAATCAAGGAACCCTACCTCTGTCTGGTAACGATCATCTCGAGGTGGTAGCTTTAACGTTGCCTTCCAGTCTTGATTACTGAAAAAACATGAGAAGCAAAACACACATCTTATAACAAAGCATTCTTATACACCAAATCCAAAATCATTAGAGGAAACAAAAAAAAACAATCTTTTTACAACGAGCACTTACTTAGAATCATTGTTAGCTTCAGATTGAACAGTCTTCTCAACTTCATCTACATAACTCGGATTACCAGGAAGCTGAGCGCTTCTAGACCATTGTTGTTGTTGTTGAATCTGTTGAGGGTTTTGTGGGTAACCTCGTTGAACGTACTGTGAAGCTTCAGGCTGCGGTGGATTCAGAGTCCGAGACTGAACGTACTGTTGAGGTTGCTGCGGAAACGGAGCTCGTGACTGAAGATACTGTTGAGGCTGATTCGGATTCCGTGACTGAAAATTGGGATCCGGAGCCGCCGCCGCTCCAATTCCCGGCGGAAATCTTCCTCTATTGTTATTCATCACAAAGCTTTTCTTCTATCGATCTCGAAACTACACAGAACAGAGAACCCTAATCTACGAAAATAAATCTTCTTCACAGCTCAAAAAATACAATAATCCGGAGTTAGGTCAAGATCAGAAATGTTGAAATTACAGAAGAAGAAAAACGGACAAAAAAAATCGAGTTTTTTCGAATTCTGTGTATACAAAGATGATAAAAAGACTGAAGAATAGAGGAAATATTTTTTTTCTCGGGAAATTTTTTTATCGTTTTGGTTACTGAGAAAGTGAAAGATAACACACACTCGCCGGAATTTTTATTTTCCTCTTACCAGACACAGACATAGACACTTCACTCTTATCCACATTATTACTTTACTAAATATCCCCATAATTCTCTGTAATTATGAAATAACCCCAATTTTCTTAATATTTGTAATTTCTCACCTCTGATTTAAAAATAGAGCTGTGGTTTGAATTCGTCAAGAAAGCGAAACCTTTCGTTTGATCATCGTAAAATAAACAATCTCCAGAATTAGAAATTTAAAATGATCGATGATTTTAATTTAATGGGTTCTCCACTTTCGAATCTCTACCATTAGAACCAAAATTACCACAAAATTCTCAATCAAAATTTTTTTTGATAAATAAGACAGAGAACTCAGAGATGAAACAGAAGAAAAAAAAAACAAAACTTGGTTCTTGTAGTATTCTCGTCGTCTTTTGGTCGTGTCCGGAGACTATAACCGGCGAACGAAGAACAAAACAGACGAAAAAGAAGAAGATAGAGAAAGAGAGATAAACAAAATGGCGTTTACAGGAACATTGGATAAATGCAAGGCTTGTGACAAAACCGTCTATGTTATGGATTTGTTGACATTAGAAGGTAATACTTATCACAAATCCTGCTTCAGATGCAGCCATTGCAAGGGCACTCTCGTGGTAATCCTTCTTCTTCCTCCATTGTTACTCTGTTTTTAATCAAAAAACAGAGTTTTACTCTATTGTTCCTCTGTTTCCTCCATTGTTACTCTGTTTTTTTATTAAAGAAAACAGAGTTTTACTCCATTGTTCCTCTGTTTCGACAATGCTTTTCAAAAAGATTTGATTTTTATGGTAACAGATAAGTAACTACTCATCAATGGATGGAGTTCTTTACTGTAAGCCACACTTCGAACAGCTTTTCAAAGAATCTGGCAATTTCAGCAAGAATTTCCAGACAGG